TATATGAAGCGGTTTTTCTTATTTAAATATGATTAAAACTTCTTAATGCCGCAGCCTGATAAAGGAAGAAACATGAGGAAGATTCAATGAGAGCTGTTACAAACATTATTTACCAAATTTTCAATTTCAAATGATGCAATATATCAATATTTTTTTTTTTCGTTGTAATGAGCTCCATTATTTTGTAAACATAAAACAAAAACAAGGAAATGCAGTGGTCGATTGATGTATAAATATCGGCCATGAAACTCGATCATACTTTAATAAAGGTTGGGCAGGCTTGAATTATATAGCACATTATCTGTACCACGTTACGTTTCTTGAAGCAGGTTTCTTCCATATATGGCTATATCTTACTTATTCCGGTTAAATAAACGATAAATAAACATTCAAACAAATTTATAGCTTTACAATTTAAATTTTCTTTGAAGTGTGTGTATAATTAATCCATTTGCATAAAAGTTCAAGGAAATTGTCATTGATTTTTATGCAATCATGAACAATGACCTCTTTTGTTTTTTTTTACGTGTACAATGACCTCTATTGTTTTTTCGGCTCTTTTCTCATTTCAAGATAATCTTTTATTAATCAAATATTAAGATATTGGAATGTATGTAAATCTAATGGATGCAGTGTCGCAAGAATACGATACCGCTGGCACTTTCTTTCAAAGCGAAAAGCAAAATTAGTAACATTCGCGCGCGGGACAGCGTCGAATTAAAAGTTCCATTTGAGGTAAGTGACTTCGAGAACGCATTTGTTAATAATAGTTTGTCCACATTATTTCGTTTAAAGAATATATTATATTATATACGGATTATATACATATATAATTACAGAATAGATTGCGTTAATCTTCGCAATCGTTTTAACAAATAACGAAATTTTAAGTAGATTTTATTTTAATAAAATTTTAATTTAATGGTCAAGATATTAATTACAAATTTTATTAAAATATGAGCTACAAATCTAAGTTAAGAGATAAAACAAGAACATTCAATATCAAAAAAAATTTGAAAGAAATTCTATTTTCAATTTTAAACTTAAATATTACATGTAATTTTATTGTCTTATATTAACTTGACTATTAACATAGCCAATGTCACATATATCTTATTATCTATCAATTATGTCAATAATTGTAATAATTGTAATGCTTATCTTCACGTGTAAAATATATTTTCGCGGTCATTCTCGCACATTATTCCAGTGTCCTTCTTTTCTTTGGCATGCTCTTCCACTTCTCCACCTTTCACCGCTTTTATGTATAAGGATCACTGTCTTCCGCATTCATGCATTCTCTTTCTTTTTTCCTTTTCCTAATTTTATTAATCCGCGGTCGACAGATAATGAAATAAAGCTATATTTTTTGCTTCTATTAACTTATTTTTTTCCTTGCTTCTATCATCATTATCAGCTACTTATAGCGTTATTGAAAGCAACGAAAATCGAGGTGGGGATCGAAAGACACATTTGTCGGACGGTGATCTTAGTGGGTACTCACCACAGTGGACGATCAGTTTTTGGTAGGACGCGTCTCTCTTCTCATCGCGAGTGAGACGCTCGCGAAGAAAATCGTATATCGAGGTTTCCCTGTTTCTGTTTTTATTTTAACGTATCGATCTCCAAGGACAGGCTACGGAAAAGTTTCCGCATTTTAAAATTAAAAATAATCACAAGATAATCGCAAGAGTTCATCGTTCGTTAAAGAAAGAGTGAGTACATTGCAAAAAAATTCAAATTTTTTTGTTGCAAACACGAACGCAAATCATACGAAATACACCGATTACATCGATTACTTATATTCTTATATTTGTATTACTTTAACCATTTATAATTTTATTTTTACATATAAATAATGATACAATAATTTTTTGTTTACACTAGTAATAGTACCGATATTAATAGTGCTTCGAATCGTGCAATTTTGTGTAATAGAACAGAGTATTTAATTAGATATAGATATATCGCGTTTACAAAATTCATATTGGAGAATTGAGAAAAATAAATAAATATTTTATCCACATAAAGAGTGAGCTTAAAATATTAGGAAAGTTCGAAAAATCTACAATATATACAAAGTTATTTTTTATTATAAAAAAATCATTTTTTATTAAAAAATGATAAATTAATTTTATACAATAATCTTCACCTTACAATATAATAACCTATAATAATAATATAATCATCACTTGCAGAAATCTTATATTAAGAATATGTTACAACTTGCGATAAGTTTGGCTTTTAAATAGAGTTTAGCTTTTGAATAGAGCTATTTAGATCATCTTTATTTACTGTAGCAGAAGAAAAGAGAAAAGGGGAAAAATTAACAATTTTCTCTCACTCATATGTTTTTTTTTTAGTTCTACAGGTGAAAAATAATGAGAATAAACCTTTGAAACTCAACTGTATATAATAAGCATAAAAACTTAACAAATATGTTTTTTACTCATATTTCAGATAGCTTACATTTGATCAATACGACATCGACATGGCTAATCTTATACGACTCGTAGTCAATAATTATAATGACGTTTTAAAGAATGTTAAAGGTGAGCTCATTAACACTATAAAGAAAGCCAATTTAAAAAAAGAATGCTACTTTATTCACAAAAGATGTTTTGGACAACGTAACATAAATGTACTATGTACTATGTATTATGAATTCTTAATGTACTAAACGATCAATTCTTAAAACTTTACAAAAATTCTATATCTATTCATATAACATAGAATATTTTTCGTAGTCATGTCATCAGAATATTAATGCTGTCCAGTACGATTGCGTCAAATTTTTCTTGTACGATATTCTCTTTTTTACATAATTAATTATATAATTTAACCGTTTCATACTTACGAAGAACAAAAAAAGCAATCTCTTTACAAAGTAAATTTGTTTACAAATGTAAATGCAACTTGGACAACTTCAATGCTATATATTACATTTGTGTAAAAGAAATTACTTGTTATTTTAAACTCTCGCAAAAAAAAAAATTAGAGAAGCTGACAAATAAATATAATATATACGTGTTCTAAAGACATTTGCTTGTCAGACAAATTTCATAAATAATCGAAGGATACAAGAATTCTATTTTATTTTACGTGTATAATATTACATTATCTCTAACGCTAAAGTGTTACATAAGTGTAATGTAACTGTATCATTTGCATAGTATCTCACTTTATTTTTAAAAAAGATAAAGCATTCTAGCAATTAGTTTCATATATTCTAATGAATATATACAATTTATCCATTTTTACAAAAGAAAGCTTAGTTTATTATTATTCATTTATTTAATATTAGTCATAAATATTTATTATCATGTATTTACATCATTTCCATTATCCGATTTAACGTAAATCAAAATTATAGCACTTATAAATAGCACGAAATTACGAAGAAATGAGTTGATATTTGCATTGATAATTTACTCATAAATAATCTAAACGCAAGTTTTACAATCTATCTTCACTACTTGGACACAAGAATGGTCTAATTCTGTCTGAAATATACACATAAAGTAAAATATAAAAACACTTTTTATTTAGTCAAAATAAATATTCCAAATTTGATAATTTATTTATTTTTGAAATAATTCAAAATTAATAATAATTTTCACACACACACACATACATAAAATATAACAAATTATTTATATTGCACAGATGCTATTAATTAAAAATTTTTTACGCGTTTTATTATTTTTGTAAAAAATAAACAAATTATATTTTCTTCCATGATAGATCCATTAGTAGACACCTGGCCATTAATGGGGTCTCCAGGTCCTCTGATATGTATTGTCAGTGCATATTTGATATTCGTGTTGAAGGCTGGACCAAAAATGATGGAAAAAAGATCAGCCTTTCAGCTGAATACCGTTATGATCGTATATAACGCGTTTCAAGTGCTCTTCAGTATATGGTTGACATCTCTGGTAAGTTTAATTTTGTTATGATTCCGTATCTCTATCATTAAATGCATAACAAATTATAAGATTTGATGCAGAATAATCTGTAAAAATTACTCACCGATTTCAGACAGTGAATGTCAACATTAAACATTTAATATTAAACATTTTCTCTTCTCATGGATGCGGTTCTCATTTTCTGCCTGATGCAGAAACCAAACATGTACAAGCAGCGGTAGGCATCTTTTTCGTAATTTTCAATAATTGTAAATTAGATTAAATTTTAACAATTTTCAATAAATAGTAAACATTTTTTAACGATAGTATGTATATGTTTCGAACAAATAGTTATTACGAGGCGCATGGTGGTATTTCTTCGCAAAAATCATCGAACTCCTGGACACGGTAAGTGAATATTTATATACAAATAAAATTAATTAATAAATTAATAATTAAAATATTTAATATACCTTAGTTGATTCACAAAGATTTCGCAAGACTATACGCATCCGTTATCGTGCTTCCGTTATCGTTTAAAAGTTACACCATTGTTTCGTCATTTAACCGACAAAAGCAATCGTAACCAACTGTATTTTGAAATACGAACGAAGCGCTTTATTAAATCGAATATCTTTAAGTGTTTGTCAACTTCATACATTGTCTTGATTACCTCAATAACTGCAAATGAGTTGAATTGTTTAAAAAAAAACAAAACGTTTTTTTCTTCACGCACGTAACACCAGGAATATCAAGCTCGAGACACAAAATCAACGTAAATACTCGCTTAAGATATCACATACTTAATAAACAATTATATACTTAATAAAAATGTTATTATGTTAAATGTTTTTAAATTTATTTTTTTTTATTAAATATGATTTTTTTAACCGTGCGATTTTATACTAAGATCGTAATAAAAATTGTTGACAATGTTATAATCAAAATTACACTTAAATGAAATCATTAAATGTCAATTAAATATTAATTAAATAATATACGTATAATATAAGAAAATATTGGAAAAACGTAAAAAAAGATTTATGGAAAATGTATATTAGAATTATTTAAAAAAATGTAAATCCTAATATAATGTTTTGTTTTTGAAGGTATTCTTCGTTTTAAGAAAGAAGCAAAACCAGGTGACTTTTCTTCATGTTTATCACCACACCATAACAGCCATTTTTTCATGGTGTTACTTAAAATTATTACCTGGCGAACAAGGTGTCATCGTAGCTTTCTTGAATTCCATAGTCCACGTTATTATGTACAGTTATTATTTCATCGCGTCACTTGGCTCCAAGTACAGAAAATACCTCTGGTGGAAAAAATATATGACTTGCATTCAACTGGTAATTATCTCTCAAAATATTGATTAATTTGCCAAAGTTATTTACAATTTATCCAGCATCTCATTGTTATCATTTCATCAATTTGTCAATAAAATCAAGAGATTTTACATTTTTAATAACAATAGGATTCGTAGAGAGTATTTATGCTAATATTTATGCTAATATTTATGCTGCTGAATATATTGTAATTGCTGACGTTTAATCTTAAGAGAGAAAGATTTCAGAAACGTTGGTTACATAAATCTGATTTAATAATGAAAATTTTTTGTCATAAATTTCAGATACAATTTGGAATAATGTTATTCTATCTAATACTAACATTGGCCATGGATTGCCGAATGCCGAAGGCTTTGACCTACTTCTTCGTAACGAACGTGATAATCTTCATTTACTTGTTCAGTGATTTTTATCGAAAAACGTATAAGACGAAGACGGCCTAATAATAAAAATTGATCTTGCAAATAGTCGATGAAAAAATATGGACTTACCTTCGCGCGAATTTATTTATATCTAAAATTTTAAATAATAAGCGCATATTTTGGTGAAATGTTAAGGTATATTCTGATAAAATGTGCAGCTTACAGTGCAGCAATCTTTTATAATTGTATCATCCACTTCTACAATGTAAAATGACATCTGTATATAGATATACAATAGATATACATACAATATATAAGATTAACGATATACAAAAGATGAGCCACGCAATTGGGACGGGTTCTAACACTTGTTTCACTGAAGATAGAAAGAAATGGTACAGGCAAAAGTTGAAAAATAATAGTCTTTTTGTTTATTGAACTTATTTTTTTATAAATGCAACAATGCACCAAAAAAGTGTAATTGCACTTTTTCTTTAGTGGAAATATATATTTTCTTTTTGCATAAATAGATTTTTTGAACATTTTGTGTATAAAATTATTAGAATAAAGTGCTCGAAAAAGAAATATTTGAAATTTCTGAATGAGGCATATGCCTTATTTAAAAAGATTTATTTATTATTAGATTTATTAGATTTATTATATTTCAAATCTTTCACTATTACATAACAAACATTTTGTGATCCGTTTTTTTCCTGTTCTTTGTTATAGCATTAAGATATTATCACAATTTACGTTACTCTAAATTTTTTCTTATGTTGTATTTTCAACGGAACAGGGCTAGAACCCGTCTCAATTGTGTGGCCCACACTATATAGTTTATAGAACATGTATACGTTTAAGCTTTTTCATCTGTATGTACATGTACTACAAATATTTTTACAAGAAAACTGTCACATCACATAAACATCATTATTAATCTCATAACCAATTGCCATTTTCATAATCTCTTGTCGTATTAATTATATATAAGTGTATTATTTTAATATATATTTGTCTTTCAAAGCACATGGTAACATTTTCGTTACTTCTATTTATATATAAAAAAACAAAAATATTAAAATATGAAAGCAATTGCTTGTGATCTTTTAATTTCTAGTGTGCAATTACCAATACGTATGTATAAATAGTATTATGTTAAACATTTCTCTGTGTGCTGAATTAAATCGTGTTCTGTAACTTTTCTCTACCCAAGTAGCAAGTGCACATCATTTGACGTTAAAATAACATCATTCGTCATCCAAATGATATCAATTGTCAAAATGATGTGTTTGCGCTTGTTACCTAGGTATATATATATTGTAATTATATAAATCAATTAAATATAGATGCATAATATATATATATAATGTACAATGTATGTACTATTGTCCTTTTGTATTAGATATGTTTTAAATAAGGGAAATCTTATATATACAAATATATATTTAAATACTTAAAAAATTTTGTCTATATCCCATATTTAGCATTAATTATCACGATAAATGTATATGCAAGATTTTATTTATCAATAATGTATCTACATATAACATATAAATATGAGATATTGAAGAAATTAAATTAATTAAATTAAAATATATAAATTTACATATATAAATTATGTTATTGATTCTGTTCTACAATAATCAAAGATGAAGTTTCACGACTGTTAAACGTCAAAGGTAAATTCAAGAATTACAACGGCATTAATATCGTGATATTAGTGATATACACTTTTATTCTATAACAAAAATTATACGTACATTATATGATACAAAAATGCGGTCGATATAATAACCCATCCATTCGTTCGAGATCGCGAGATTTTGATCGAAGTTTTTGAGCAATCGATCGACAATTCTGAAATTGCGACTTTTCGAAAATAGATCACTTGGAAGAGAGACTGTTTAAACTAGAAGAGATATAATAATTGTAATTATGGATAGGTAATAATTATTTACATTAGAAGCCCCATTTTAGTATTTCCAAAAAATAAGACATGCTCCAATAAACCTTAAAATCTACGTATATTTTATTATCCGTATCTCTGGATACGAAAGCATTATCAATATGTAAAATTAGACAAAAGAAGGCGAAGAGGGAGTCGTGGCATTTACCACGGGATACTCATAGCGATTAGCAAACAAGCTTAAAGCCATTTTCTTTGGACTCATTATTTTAACTATCAACGTTTTTTCCCGACGCGTATCTGAAATTATCTTTTCTACAAGTTTTTTTTCTCTAAAGATTAAGAATAAGATTAATGAACAAATAGACAATAACTAATAGAATAGTCGCAGCGCCCACAAATACGCATTTGCGCATCAAGATGATTCAAACAATATAAAAGAAACTTTTTTGATAAATATTTAATTTAATATAAAAATAATAAGTTTATTAAATATTTATAAGTAATAAGAGCATATATTAGTTTAAAATTTTAAACAAATAATTTTGAAGAATATATTTTTAAAATAATCAATTTTTCATTTAAAAAAGAGAATATAATAACCAAAATTTGAAAAAAATTTCCAGCCACAGACAGAAAAAAAGAACACATGTTAGTTGAACTAAGAAAAGTCAAGTCACAAAAACAAATTCAATTGAATACTCCGTTAAACAACTAATAAGGAAATATTATTTTCTGGATATTATCTAATTGTTGCAATATAACTAGATGTTACGTACGATTTCATTCAAAGAATGTAACCAAAAGAGCAATACTTTAAAAGTCCTTTTTTCGTAACTTCGTTCGTTTAATTGACAATTAAAGTTTATAATCATTTTTAATATTGTACCTACATTACCGCGTATTATTCTATTCAAAAAATGACAATTATGTCATGTATTAATTATTTGTATACCTTTTGTTCCTAATAATGTCTACAATCATTTGATATATATTTGATTATTGACTTGTTCCGAACACATTTAACGCGTAACTTCGAAAATCATTATTTAAAAATGTTGTTTGTGTGTGTGTATGTGTGTGTACGAACATCTATGATAATCATTCCTAGTGAAGATATTATCAACAGGATTCTAACAATAAGTTCTTTTTTCAACCAATTTCTGTTAATGAAGAAACTCAATAAAAGGTTTAATTTAAAAATTTCTTGCTTCTTAAAATTTGTGTGATTAATTCAAGATAAATTTGGCAGTATTCAACAAACGTAAAATCTGTAATTTAAATAGCTTAAAATTGATTATATATATATATAGTATATATCTTTATACACTACACTCTCTCTGCATTTATCATTGCAATGTATCGTATATCATACATGCAACAACAAAAATAATATTATTGAATCTCTTAAAAATGCTTTTGATTGGCATGTTTTAATTAAATTGTTGTCTATATTTTGTCCATATATATCGGTATGATTAACTCTATCGATATGATTTCTATATTCTGATAAATCTTTGGATACGCTCTTTTGAATATCTTTCTAAAATTTTCATTAGCACCCGTAAACGATTGGTATAATTTTTATTCATTAAATAACTATCTAAAATTGTATACCTAGGGCACGCGATATTCATTAGTACTATATCTTAGTATCGTGATTGGCTCTAGTCGAGTGTTTAGTCATATTAGATGCATTGTTTATGTCGCAAGATACGCTGCGAATTTGAAAGTACAAAAGTATTAGCTTGCCATCACAGTGTGATCCGTATTCCTGCGTTTCTGTTCGTATCCTCCTTACGATCCAAAACACACACACAATTCAATTTGCAATTACACGATTATGACTAAGGGCGCTATTCTGTACATGGCTACCGATAGCTGTAAGTTCTGTAAATGTCGTTGCGCACGTATTTTGATATGTCAAAAAACATGCGCAACGATTTACAAAACTTACAGCTAATGGTAACCGTTTATAGAATAGCGCTCTTAATCTGCATAATCTTATAAGCGTTATGTCAATGAATTCATGCTGGGCATGAAGTTAGTAAACCGACCATTCGGAAGCGAGGATTACGACAATAGTAAAGCTTTAAATATATGTGAGTATATTTTTTCGGCATATATTATGTGATGTTTTATCGATTGTTTGAGATCTATGGAATGTTTGATCTCTAACTGTTCCTGTATAAAAGCAATATTGCTTTTCTTAGAATGACATAATACATATTGTAAATTCTGCTGAAATTATGAGCTTCGCGTAACAGAGAATTTTATGATATTCATCTTTTACTATGTGATAGTTGAGATATCCTACATGCTAATTATGCACAGAAGTTTGACTTAGTTGTCAAAATTTCATTATAATATAAGAATGCACTAAAGATAAAAAAATACAGGATAAAAGATGCGCAATAGATGGATCGTTTTAGTTTGTGTAAAAAAAGACTAAAAAAATTCGATCTCTGAATAATTAAATGTACTCGATCTGCGCCAATGTCTGGTCATCTTCTCGGTCGTTACGATTTACTTTTGCATTGTGCGCGTTTGACTCTCCCTGAATATTATTTACAGTTCTGACACGTCGGCAAAATTAACGGGATAGAGACTGCAGTTGCGATTCTTCAAGTGAAAGAGCGGAATGATAGTGGCGTCGCGTATCATTGCGGTCGCGTCATATTCTTAGCTGTTTCCAATTAGTCGCTTTTCCCTTTTCCGTTTGGTATCTGGTCGTTGCTCACTTTCTCCGCGATGCCGTTCGCTCTGTCCGAGTTCTGGATCGACGGCGTTGAGTCGTCGTTTTCCTTCTTCGGGGTATAAGCGTTATTGTAAAAATCCGAGAACAGGAAGTAGAAGAACACCGCGTTTGGCAGAACAAAGACTAACGAAATTTTCGGATAGTCGCAGTCGTAGAATAATAATTGGCAGTTGTGCAGGAAGGCCAGGCAGAATTGAGTCTGTAAATCGAACAAAGATCGCTATTTTATAAATATATGATAAAACCGCTCGTGACAACAAACGGTCGATGTTAAATTAAATCAATCATTAAGATAAGCAAAAATCGAAATTTTGAAAAAAAGTTGTAACGATGCTTTTATTTATTACATTTTATTATGTTTACTTCTTACCATTTGCAAAGTGGTAATGTACTTCTTCCACCAAAGATACCGTTGATACTGGTAATGAGGTAGCAACGCTGCCAATAGATAATAAGTGTACATGATGATGTGCACAAAGCTATTAATGATTCCTGCAAGCGAATACATATCGAGTCAGTATGTGTGAATTGGTTCTTGATTATTAAAACTATGAAAAACGAATGGTACAGAGATAATCCTATTAGGAAAAGACAGAAGATCGAGATGTTATGATCGTTATATTATTCCTTACCCTGACATACCTATAAAAATACCGTGGCCTCCGGGATAATATTTCGTAGCGCCCCACGATATCATTGGCATCACGGTATGATGGTACATATGAAGAAACGTAATTTGCTTTTCTTTCTTGCGCAACACAAAGAACACTGTGTCAAGGAGCTCCGTGAGTTTCGCCAGAAAATACATGTAAACACCTCTTGCAATCTATAACAAACATCGCGCAAGAAACGGATAGAGATATAATTGACTTCAATTGTTCCACAAAAATTTAATTGTAATGTTTTTGTATATTTGCACTGTGTTACAGAACACATTTTACTGTGCTACGTGAGAAAATTACAAACGGTAATGTAGTAATCTTTCAAATTATCAACAAAACAATATGCGAATGTATTTCGATAATCGTGATTGGTTAACAATTAATTAGAAACGCAAAAATTTAACAAATTAATAATTATATATTTAGAATACAACATTTACGCACTCTCAGAGCCTTCGGGGAATACGAAAAGTCCACGGGCTCACATCTCCAGTTGTAGGAGCCGTTGAGCCATGCACCGGTCAAGCCTTCCCAAAACAACCACGTGCTGATAATAATCTGCAGAAAATTGTAAATGACTAGGATATTTTTCAATTGGTACGGCTTCCGATGCTTCATGTATCTCGGACCCCATGATAACACAAAATATAGATAGCCAATTATGATACTAAGGCCGGGTATGGGTGACGGTATGAGAAACCAGTCTCTAGTTCGAGGATCTGAAAAGAACGAAATAGCGATTAAATAAAAAATAGCAATCTCGATTTATATTTTGCACTTGACTTTCTTTATCAATGTAACTTTTTAATATATTATTCCAATATAAATTAAAATAAATTTACTTTCTCTCAATTAATAAAACGAGTTTCAAAAATTTTTTACGTAAAAGATGGTTAATACAACTTTATTCTCTTTCTTTTGAACATTTTTTCTTTTTTATTATCAATTGACGTACAATTACAAAGCATTATCTCCTAATTCTACTTATAAATAATGGAATTTCATGACAATATTGATTCTTCTCTACTTCTATGAATCAAATATTTATATAACAATCTATATTGTAAGATATACGATATAAGAGATCAAAGTAAGATCAAAGAAAATTATCATTGAAAGTTGCAAGATTAAAGTATAATGAAATAAAATTTATGATATACATTACAATATCTATAATTCTGTAACATAATTTAGTTTGATATTTTATGCAACGAGGAGGGATGCAAAAGAACACGAGTAATAGAACATAATTATATACTATCTTGTGTCATTGCCATTGATCGATAATTTCACAATTCTTTTCAAATTTAATAAATCTTGCGTAATATAAACTTGCCGGATAAATCGTAGAATAGAAAATGCCAGAATCGCACTGCTGAGTTGTTGTAGATATTAGACATCTTGATCGTCGGCGGCGCACTGATATTCATTGTAGAAAGTTAACTGAAAAGAATCATTTTATTTCGTGAGCATTAAGTGTTTTCATTTCAAAATCTCATAATATATAAACGCATTTAAATATTCAAATACATTGGACATATTCAGGATGATCCTGAGGACGTTTTGTGCTGTCTGGGTACATATAAGTTTTCAGGACAGTTTGATATGCGACATCATCGTATAGACAGACTGCCAAATTTTATTATTAGCATCACATGTATCTGTGGCGTTTTCACTTGCAAGAAAAATATCGAAGGAAAACTCGCAGTTTGTCATAAAAAGAAATTCTCACTTTTATATCGCCATTAAATCCACGAGGTTCTAATTGAGTAGCATGGAATTTTCTTGCGCAAGATGCGCGGTTTGCCAATTGCTGAAATCTGCATTCTTCTGCGTACGAACCGGTTCGCACACGTCTGATATAATTCAATATAGTCACAACGAAAGAAAAAATAAAGAAAAAAGAAACGGGAAGAACCCACCCATTTTCGCAGCCTCTAATGATAGGTCGAACTGCCACTTGGCATTACTCAATGGCAATGAGTTACATCGTTAGAAAAGCACGCGCAATCGCAAACGCTTGGCGTGACGGACAACGATCATGTTAAACTTGTTTCTTTTTTCCGTCGTCGTACTAATCCGCGGTGACAAATTGATTCGACCATGGATTGAATTGACCGATCTACGTGTGTCAATCCTTTGACACTGCAGCATCCTTTCATAAATATGAGTTCTTTCTTTTGAACTTTATAGAAAGGTATACGAAAAATAATACTAAATTACTACGAACAAATCTATGTATAAATCATTTCTTATTTCTTATGTGAATCGCGAATATGTAAAAAATGTCATTCAGCACCATCAGAATTATATTCGCTCGAACATATCTTCACGATCGCCACTGCGGCGATTTAATAATATCGTTTTCTCGCGGTCAAATACGATTTTCGTCAGTGCCGACACGCTTTCATACCTGTCCAATTTGCGCGTTCGGCTTCTGATTATTAATACTGTCGGTGTCATTATCCGTCTCGATAAAATGCACCGCAAACCGCAATCGCCTTTTCGACTTTCCATGCGGCACGGCGGAACCAAGTGTAAGCGGAACCAAGTTGTTGGCGCGAGAAACGGATGATGGATCGATCGCACGTCAGACTTTTCACTAAGAGAGCGAGAGCAGAGGCCGAAAAAAAGAAAAAAGAAAGACCGGCGTGTAATTACGACTAACGGTTCGACAACAACTAACCGTATGATTCCATCATGCACGAACGATCCTTCGTTAGAAGAAGCTATCCCAGATATATGTATGCAACGCAGTTTCAAACGATAGGGAGGCGTCGCCACGAATTTCCTTCTTGTCGGTTCCCAACCACTTTTTTCACGGTTCAACCGTCCGTGAAATATGCAGATTATCTAGTAAAGCATGTGGCGAAAAGACGACTACTCATAGCCACCAAAAAACAAATATAAAATTTCAAATAAGTTTCTTTGATTGGTTGCGCATAGCTCCTGACAAAAAAATTATTGTCACTTGCATCTTCGCGAGAGTTCGTCTTCTCGTCGATTATACCATTATTTAATAGAACTATACATAATAATCTCATTTCACTGTTTTTATAACTCGATTAATGTATTGTTATCGAATCGAGAAATAGACGCTACGCGAGAGAATCATCGCACGACGTTATGTTTTTCGGCATAATGTGACTTTCCTCGTAACTGCTAGACACGCGGTATATTATTGTTTGTCGAAGGAAAAAGAATCGCAGCTTACGAAAATCGTAAAATCGCGCGAGATTTCGTAAAACCGAACGTTACATCAATTGTATAATGGCTCCTAAGACATCGGCCGATGCAACGTCGTTAAAGTGCTCTTACATAACATTTCTCATTTTAGGACATAGATAACCGGTTTCTCGATGCTATCCTCAAAATAGCATTCATTCAACTTAATTTACCATCACGAACTTAGCAGTTTAGTTGTTTACAACTGTTACAATCATTAAATTTAATTTAATACCTCCTCTCTTATCTCACAGTTTACGATATTAAGTAAACTGCAATATTAAATAAACCGCAAACTTTGTAAATAGTTCCTGTAAACATCACTCCTGTAAATGTCATTCCTAAGATGAAATAAGCATGATATTTAAGTGTATAAAGCAATGTTAAAAAAAAAAATTGTAATTATATAAATAATTTCTGCCTAATTAACAAAACTATACAAACTTTTGTTTAAATAAGCATTTTTATAAATATATTATTGTATACTTTTCTCTAGATATTATATTTAAAAATTATGCATGACATATATTAAATGAATTAGACGCACTATTTCGCTTTTATCACGTTTTACCGAATGTTTTATTTAAATTCTCCGCATAATCAATATATTTCTCCATTAGCTTGGTTTTTATATTCTAAGACAGTGAAATGAATTAAATAAGTTAATATTATCGCAAAAATATAATGACAGAAACAAACGATAATAATTGAGCAAAGATTGTTTTCATTAAATAAGGATTAATTTGCACGGGGAGTCAGTCAAATCCCACATTTCTTTAATCGTTTTCTTCGATTATTCAGAATGCAAAACTAAAACTCTCGAAATCATAATCGCTACCACTTATTTACGCAACTATATTCAATTATTCTTATTATTATCATTATTATGCGAAAAGGGTACAATGAAATGCCAGTTTGCAACACGCAGCCAGACATCCTCCTATTATCGGTGTCTCACATTACGCTTCATTGACACATGAATTATCGACCCGCCAGGTTTTACATAATAAACCGTCAGAGCTATCTATATTCCTACATCACTGTCACACATGTACGCGTTTTCTAGAATGAACGACCGACTTTGTGAAACCAACAATTGCTTCAGGATCATGCAAATGACCGTCAATAAATTCACCTTACGAAATATGCTACCGCCGGCCGACGATTTGTCTTTTTAACGGCGCAATTACGACGCATCATCCCTTCCCCTCCCCCCCCATTCGTTTTAGAGCATTCATGTACATATTAGTACACGCACGGACACGTGACCGCATCTCGCGTGCATCACACGCGCTATTCTATCGCCTATCAAGGGTCCGTAATGACCCAACTGCAGTTTCACCTACTATTGCGACACGTGCTTCTTCGCTGTTTCACTTTTCCCGGCGTGCACTTGCTCCGATCCCTATCTCTCTCTTTCTCTTTCTTTCTTTAAAAGATTATTAATTTAGATTCTGTCGTGCATCCTTCCAATGGATGCTGCATCAGTATTATCTGAATCAAGAGAAGCATGGACAACACATTAAAATTTTTATCATATATAAATCTTTGCTTTCATTTTTCGCAATATGTATTTGATTTTTATTTTATGTTTTATTTTATTTTATGTGTGTGTGTGTGTGTTACTTAATATACATATATCTACTTACAACAAAGTATCTGTAAATCTAATATAACAATACTGGACATGCTCTTTTTGCAATGCCTGATTCAATCTTTGCATACGTTAAGCAAGTTTAAGTAAATTTATTAAAAGCGAGATTTTTTTATGAGACAGATGGTACAGAGAGATATACTTATGTCACTGTATATTGCCATATCATTATATATATAGTAATGTATGAGACAATAGATTGTATAAGCTGCAGTATTAATGAGCAGTTATACTCATGTGGTTTTTAGCAACGGATTATATTACAAACGTTCACGGTCAATGACACAACCAACATGATTGTCTCACGTTGAATGTAGCATATATAACTATACATATTGATGCTTATTTTACAGTCTACTTGACAATCTGTAATAATCTATAATAAAAAGAAAATTAGTTAAATAACTTTTGATAACTTAATTAATTAATTAACCATATGGCATTAATATCATAAGCCAGATCATTAAAAATAAATATTATATATAAAATAATATAGAATGCACAAAATAATACTAAAAAGAGCAAAAGAAAGTATTGAATAGAGGGATTAGTGCCAATTTCATCGCCCTTAGTTTTTAGTTTTTGAGACACAAAATTAAATATATGCTAGGATATTCGAATGTATGTCACTAAGAGCTTATCCGATTCTTCTCTTCCTTTCTGACGCGTTTCTATGTCACGTCAATCCAAAGAGCTCGAATACCGGTTCGCTAAGGAAATCATACAGCTCGCGCGCATAATGCGTTTGTTCTGTCTGCTGCAACGTGCGTACCGCAAGTTTATTGACCAATGACGCGCATTCAGAAACGGTATATCCCACTGCTTCAAGGAACTTACTTGCAGCAATAGGAAATCGCGCAATATTCATTTTTTCATGATGATTAACATTCGCATGTCGGTCTCGTTAATTGTCAGTTGACAACGTATATTTTTTTAGTAGATAAAAAACGGTAACAACGTGAAAAAGAGGAATTCCCGCAAGACAAATTTATATTTCTTTTGCATTATCATACCATATCGAATGTAACGCTTGAATAATTCACAATCGGCGATTCGATTATACAGACGCGAAAATATGTGCAAACGATCAAGCATCTACTTTGTGCGTAGTTGCAAATTAATTTAAATGCACGGTTATTTTCATTTCCAATACTTAAGCTCAAATCCTTATTTATTTGTGTAATCAAACATGTGTTTAACATGCATATCATTCATTATAGGAAGTTAAGAAAAGTTTTCCGTTATGCAAAAATTATTATAAATTATAATCAATTTATAGAAATTTCTCAGAATATAGATCTCTCTTGCTATTTCTCATATCTCAATTCTGCATAACCCTTTTAAAAGATTTTGCAAATACTTAAGATCGTTTACTTTACGCAAGCTGTTTCAACAGCGACCCATTGTACCGCTCATCTGTAAAATTTTATTAATAGCTCTCTCTCTCTCTTTCTCTCTTTTTATCTTCACACTAATGTCTTTGAATAGAGTTGCTTGAACGCATGATTTCATCGCTACTATGCATCGGCATT